TGTATTTGCTCTATCGCTCTTGATGGTACGAACACCTGCGTCATCTCAACTCGGTTCGACTTCTGTCGCACAGCTTAATCAAAGACCACCTAGAACGTTGCTTGCTCTTGATATCGTGCTGTCTCTGGTTGGACAAGTCGCTATATTTCTCGGATGTATTTACATTGCGTTGGCGGCAGCAGAGGCGCGACCGTGGTTTCGCTCGGCAGAAAACTAACGTCGTGCAAGCGCCTTGCTACGTATTTATACCTGTCGAGCCGGCAGCTCTGACCTCAAATTCGTGCGAGAATAGTGTTTTATGGCGTTTTGGACACCTCCAATACTGGATTGCAGCTGTCATGCTTAATGTCCGTGACAAGTACCGAGTGCCCGTTCTACGGTCGAATCGGACATTTGTGTTGTACACCTTTGTCTTGTTGATTATTCTGCTCGTACAGCTTTCATGGAACACTGGGAATCGTGAGGATGAGATATCGACAACGTCAGCAGCAGTAGCAAAAGCTTTGAAAGCACGTGGCGTGGATGTGAGCTTACGAGCGCTGGAGCTGCCTACAAGTCTTGCATGGTCTCTGTTCCCACTGTTTCGCTTTGATGCTGGCTGATGATACATCGCTTTCGAATGCAGCTAAAGAGCGGCTTTCGTAACCGCAAAAGCAAATCTGGCGGCTGGAAGACGTACTATGGACTTCGTGGTGAGACCGATAAACAGAGCCTTTTGGTACTCAACGACATGGTTTGTTAGGTGTTGATACGATCCAAGGTGGTCAGCAAGTGATCTAAAGCCCATTGGTATAAAAGGGAACGTCGATAGGGTGGATAGTGATGATGATGAAGAGGAAGATGCCCCCCCGACTAAAATTGAAATGTAAAATGACAGAGCCATGTCTTTTTATACATTCCTTAATTTTCTGTGATTTTCGGGTCTACATAGTGGAAGACAACTCGCTAGTCTTCGTGTCTGCATTCAATAAATGCATCTCTTTATTTCTGCCTCTACAAGTGACATCTCCGCTGTCTTCACAGGCATCAAGCTCCCATAATAACTCGAAAGACTCTTCGGTCGCTGTAGATTGTACCTCAGTCTCGAAGTCCATGGCAACATCCATTAGCGAGTTATCGTACTCTGACGTTCTGTTCGTCCTGCTTGTTACATTGAACATTCCACTCAATTGAAGCTCAAGGAGCTCGTCGACCGTTGGTAGCGGCTCAGTATTTGAGAAATCAACAGTGCTGTCTACCGTGTGCTTCCTCTTTCTCGGTCTGGGCGATGCGCCGGCCCACAGCGGACGACCGAACAGCAAACGGTGTGTAGATAAACAGCGCTCACCGATCTGCCGGGTATTGAAGGACCTCAAGTTGACAGACGCACGCACCATGGGCTGCGTCTTGGTGAGCTTTAGAATTGACGCTTCTCGTGCACTGAAATGATCTACGCAAAATTGTGCAAGCTTTGTTGGATCTTGTGACTGTATATTCGTACACTGGAATGCATCGGAATACGCTGTGGCGGCTTTTTGAGTCGAACGCATGGATCTGCAGCACTTCGATGACCCACTCAATTGGTTTGTGCGTTGCATCCTGAGCTGAACAATGAGGAATGGAAAAGATATGTAACAGAGATTTGCAGTACCGGACGCGATGCTCGACTGCAACGGCTTAGCAAGATTAACATACGTTGGTGGATACGCTCAGATCTTGAAAGGGCGCATACCCTATAGACACAAACTCTTCAACGTCATATCGACGTAGAATTAAGTCCAGTTTATTAGAACTAACCCTCTTTTAAGTTGCGGTAAGATGGAGGATCTCGAGACATCCGCGATTCTCGACTTTCACGGCATCCCTTATGTCGTGACCGTGCAGGTACAGCAGCAGTGTCTGCATGTGCAGGTTGAAAGTGAAGATGTGACTACGACACCCTCAAGCGTTTGGACTGGCACTTTTCCTGCTTCGGATATTGAGCAACTTACACGTCAGACAGGCAACTCAAAGCGCTTTCCAGTGTTCATCCAAATGTTGCTCACAGCATTACATCGACGTAGTGACACAGTGTTTGTGGATCTCCTAACGACCACCGATTTGGATCTTTACAGACAGCGTAAATTGCAACCTAAAGCAGCTTTGGAAGGGTATGATGATCACATAAGTATATTTGCATGATTCCGTGTGTTCTATCAGCTCAAAATCTTATTTCTTACCACATATTCATAGGCTGCCATGTTCTACTACTAGTACAAATTCTGGAAAACGCTATTTAATCTTAACTTATGCTGTTGAATTCGATCGAGTGCACTACCCATTGCCTTTAACTCAGGAACAATCACCATCTCCAGAAGTTTTGCAGCGAACAATTCGAAGACTGAGTCAGGCTTTAGCTGCAAAAGAGAAGACTTTTACTAGTGAGAGCAGTTCTCAATTAGAAAAAGAAAATGCAGCATTGAAAGAAGAAAATCGGTGCTTGAAAGACAAATTGAAGCAGTATGATATTGAAGTAGGTGGATGCGAAAATGTTGGAATAAATTCTTCGAAAGATCTACAACAAGAGCTTGAGGTAGGATGCAGTGAAAAATCTGTTCTTAAGCTGATACGATGCTAATGAAGTGATTCATTGTGAAATGGTAGATGTCGAGTGAAGAGAAGAAAAAGTTAGCTGAACTCTATCAGCATTTGAAAGAGGAATCAGCGCTAGAGATGGAAAAATTGCGGACAGAAATCAAGTATGTGATGTTCAAAGCTGTAATGGAATCATGCTAGCTGACTAAGAATTTGCTGTGTATATTCTAGACAACTTCGATTAGCATCTCAGCCGAAAGATACAAGACAGGAGCAAGAAAATGTGGTAACAAGACGCAAACTCGTACGTGACGACTTTATCATGTTGCGGTTATTGACTCACATATTGTTTATATCGCTTATCTAGAAGGACAGCAACGCTGCAGTTCAAAAAACCCTGGCCCAAATGTTGCAAATGAAAGCACAACTCGAGGAGACACAGCAAAAAAATCGTGATCTGCTTCGTCGGCTGGCAATTTCACGTGCACGGTCTGGGCAGGGAACGCGTCAACGTCCTGTGCTTGATAACAGTCATCGAAGCGACTTCTCACGGTTTACACGCGACTTATCACCACCAAAGAGATCCGTTCGGTCTTCGACAGAAATTACAACGAAACAAGAACACCCTGCCATGTTTACTAAGTCGTATCGATCTGCTTCACCTCACTATGGTCCATCAGACGACGAAGATAGAATTCCACTAAAGAGTCGACGTGAACGAGCCACAAGTCGCACCCCCTTCCGTCGCTTTGATCCAACAGCTTACCAACTAGAAAAGGAGCGTAAACTTCGCGAAGCTCGAGCAAACTCTAGGTCTCGGCTGCCTCGATCCAAAGGCGGATACTCATCTGATAGTTCAGCCGGTGGGTACTCATCAGCCGATTCTCGAGATTCCAAGACGTCATCTCGCTCTGCACGTTCACGCGGCTCACGAGTGTCGAGAGAGCGTCAACGAGAATTAGATGCTCGACTTTCCTCTCCCAAGCGAAACCTTGAGCCTCCCCCGCTTCCAAATCGTCGTCAGCCACCTCGTTCGAGTCGTGGCCGTTCGTCGTCTCCCATGCCATCAAAAAGCATCAAATCTGGTCATCAAACGCCTCGATTACCATCCCCGGGTCCGGTGTCATCGTCAGAAAAGCCGCAAACATCTCCATACAGGAGTCAAACGTCGACTCCTGTGTCAACACAAAAAAAACAGCCTCCACAAGCACTGCTCGACACATCCGCCGACTCATTTAGTGATATTGATGAACGTCTGACTGCTCTGCAAAAATTTCTCCGAGAGGCTAAACAAAAAGGAGGCGGGACTACCGCCGCGAGTCTTGCAGCATGATAGAAAAGCACACGTTTGTTGTACAGTCAACTTGATATGTTTTTTAATCGTTAGAGTTTACCTTCACAATGTAAGATCTACAACCACACATGTGTCCCTACAAACGTATGAGAAGCTTTTGGTCGGTGTCCTATCGTTCGAGTTTCTCGAGCCGACGTGGGTGTAATCGCAGGATATACGACAGGACGTGCAGCTGAGATCGAAGCGGAATGGCTCAACACACTCGTTTCTTGAGTAACAGGAGGCACCCAAAGCTCGTTGTGGTGCAGAAATCCAAGCAGATCGTCTTCAATAGCAGTCGGACTCGTATAGTATTCGTTCGTGATAGTCGACACACGAGTATTGTCTAGAAGCGAGGGGACACGGTGTGTATCTAACAGGCACGTCATTAAGTCTCGAGAAGAAATACTGGTTTGTGATTTGTTCTTGATCGCTCCTCGAGACTGTTTCTGAAGATACTTTTGAGCGTGCGTTCGGATTTGTACAAGCGTACGTGTATGTACAAGACTCGAAATCTTTTTCCAGGACTTGCCGAAACGTTGTAATCCTTCGAGGAAAAGTTCGTGTTCTCGTTTAGTCCAGCGACCTACTTGGGTACCTGGAGTTACGTCACGTTTCGGTTTCTTTGCGAACGTTGATCGCATGGCTGAGCGTGAAGGCGAATACATTGTCATAGAAACAATAGGTGACACTGGATTGAGACGCCGTTGCGGTGGAATTCGATAGTTTGACTGAACGGTATCTAATGAAAAGACAGGACTAAACGGCGTCGGATCAATAGTCTCATGTGGTTCAAAGAGAGCATCTTGGAACGTTGAATGGACGGCAAAACTAAAGTCATCACCGAGACTCTCATCACATGTACCATAAGAGAACGGAGGTGAGAAGTGTTGGCGTACGGGAGTCATTATATTTCTGAATGTAAACTGAAGACTAAGGTCTGATACAAGTTCCGAAACTGCTTAAGATATAGGCCTAGGCACTCTTGAAAGATCAGAAGACTGACGTCATGTATGGTGGTAGTTGAAGAGACTGAATTAACTGGCGCGAGTGGCCAATAGTATATTTCGAGCTAATAATAGTCATATTAGATACTGCTTGATGGCTTAAGCGAAGTGATGACGGCAGGACGATGTCATAAGCTAAAAGCTCGTCAAAACACTGAAATGGACCATACGATGATTCCATTCAAGATATTTACATAATAAGGTGACATTTATTTTGTCATGGTCTGCAAAATTTTAGCAAGCCGATAGAATCAGAAAAGGATGGACTAGGGGTAGAGAGAGCTACATGGGAGAGGCTAATACTATAGAGAAGAATGTTCGGTTAGATTGCTAAAGGGTAGATACGAAACTTGGAGGCCGAACAAACATCACTACCGTACAATCTTAGCCGATGAAAGCACATGGCGTGTATAAACTCAAATTTTTACATACTTAACGAGTGGACATGTTGCTTAATGACACGGCTAGATATCTTTGATTGATAAACTGGTTTTGATCACTTACACGTCAGTTTGTCTACAAAGGAATGCTGTGAGATTAGCTAATGGTGCTTAAATAGTTTGAACCGTCTAATCACAAATTTAGACCGCTACAGAAAAATCTTGAGAGAGTGAGATAGATGGTACTATCAAACTTGACGTGAGAAATGTCAAGCGTGTCTTGTGGTAGAGTAGGAGAGTGATATGGTCAACAATGGAAATATACATTTTCTAATGAAAAGTTCTCTGATAGTTTATACTATTTTAACTAGGAAGCAGCGACACTTTTGATCAAATTGAGATTGCGGTTACGCGTCGTCCTGTAGCTTAAAAACGGGACCTGTCAATTCTAATGGCTTGATAGAACTTAGGCTACGAGAGACGAGAACATTCTACCGTAGTCACAATAAGTTGGTTGCATCCTTGACGAGCATAATTGAGATCATTTACTTTTGATAAATCTGACAAATCTGCATGTATTTTTTTTTTCAAGCCAACGTCGAAAGTTACTTTTGTGACCCTGCCAGCGCCGTGACAATTTATAAAGAGTAAAATTGTTGATGTTCAGACGTTGAAAGTATCACGTTGTATATTGTATATATTGCAAATGATGTTAAGCATCTAATCTTTGGGCTCGCGCCGTTAGATACGGCAAGAATCTTGGTTCTGATAGTACTTTATTCATTTTGACATTGTTAAAACAATTTAAGGTTGGGTCGGTTTACATTGTTTAGGAATATGAACCTATTTGCGGTTGGCTCTTGAAAATGACAATTACACTCTACTGCGAAAATGACATTGGCGCATACAAATCACTTTGGCCAATCAAAGTCAAGTCAGTGTCCGCAGACCACAAACTCCTTTCCCATACTGTGGTCCGATTCTGAGCTGACTCGTTTGTGACTCTTATTGAAAGGTTCTGTTTTTTTTCAATTGGTCACGTATTACGTCGAAGCCACTATGAAATTTCAGAAACCAGCGATTAAGACATTGCATGTTCAGTTTAAATGTCTTTGACAATCGAGTCCTACATTGACAAATAGGAAGTCTTTAAAATTTGCGTGCCTCAACTGCTCATAAGACAGCAGCATTTCCAGACCCCGATCGTCCTTCTAGTGTCTTCTGTGTCGCTTCGGACTTTGCCATTCGGCTGTGCACTGCTGCAAGCAGACGCTGAGGGATGACCGCGTTCGACTCTAGCCGGCTAAAGGCTGCGGAGAGGAACTATCCAGTCCACGACAAAAAATAACTCGCGACGAAGTATGCACTTGTCAAGTTCAAAGTGCACCTGCTTGGTTCAAAGCTGTTTGTAATCAACACATATCATGCGCCATTACGCACTGCGACTCAGTCGCCTCACCTCTCGCAGAGGATGTCCAGGTGGCTCTCTGTTTTTGTAGAATATCACTTCGAGGTGAAGTATAAGCCAGGAAAGCAAAATGACTTGGTTGATGCGGCGTCGCGCGGACCGGACTATGAGCTTGCACATAATCTCCACGGTGACGTCGTCAGTGAAGGATTTAATCCGCGCCGCATACGCGGGTGACAGTATGTGTGTAGCGCAGCTACTGGCTCTCGGGAGCAAGGATTTAAAAATTCGGACAAGAATTTGTCGGCGCGTTTGCGCACACGATCACACCGATATTCGTTAAATTACGAGTTGCTGTATTATAGCACCGATTCAACGGATACGCCACAAATTGTAATTCCACATGATAAAGATTCGAAATACCATATCCTCTATGAGGCCCACGACACCCCACTCAAAGGTCATCTCGGTTGTTAAAAGACGTACAGCTCGGTGAGTCGCCAGAATTGGTGGCCCAAGACTGTACAAGTGGGCTAGCACATATGTGCGCACGTATGAGACGTGTCGGAGGGTCAATTCCTCTCCGAATCTGCGGTGCCGCTGGTCAGTTTACCGGTAACATCCGGGTGTTGGCAGTCTATGAGTATGGACGATGTGTTTGGTCTGCCGTAAGACTCGGCGGGTAACACGGGTGTGGTGGTCTATATGGACCATTAAAGCAAGATAGCTTATTCTTGCGACAGTGCCAGACATTATCAAGGTGTGGGTACAGCGACGCTGTTTGTCGATCGTGTCTTTCGACAGCATGGACCCCCGGAGTCAATTGTCTCTAATAGAGACCCGCACTTCACTGGGAAGCGTTTGTTTACACTTTTCAGGGTGCAGGGCACCGAATTGACTATGTCAATAGCGGACCATCCGCAGACCGATGGTCAGATTTAGCGCGTGAACCGCAGCGTATGCGCTGAGACCCCGAAGCGCTGGAGCGCTATGTTGCCACTCGTAGAGTTCACTCTGAACAATGCACTGCATTCATCTACCGGCTATACGCCGTTTTACGGAAACCAGCATATTAACCCTCGCGTCCCGCTGACGCCGCCATCCCATGGCTCAGGGCTTGGTGGGGGAGGAAT